CAAAATGTCCCTTGTCACTGCCATATCACCGCCAGAACATGTATGATTTTAGTTCTCCTTGTACTGCTGCATGGCACCATTGCACCTTCTGCCTGTCTGTATCTGTCTCTCTCTGCCTATTAGTCTGTCTGTTAGTCAGTCTGTGTCTGCCTGTCTGTCTGCGTTTGTCTGTCTGTTTGCTATTCTGTCTCTCCGTCTGTCTGTCTGTGTCTGTGTCTGTCTGTCTGTATCTTTATCTTCCCTCTCTCCCTCTCTCTCTCTCTCTCTCTCTCTCTCTCTCTCTCTCTCTCTCTCCCTACCTCTCACCCCCACCCCACCCTCCCTCTCTCCCTCCCTCCTCCTCTCCCTCTCCCCCCCCTCTCCCTTTCAGAAAGAGCAGGGAGAGAAGGAAAAGGGAGAGAGTGAGCGAAGACAGTTGACTTAAGGAACGCGCGAGAGACACTTCTTAAGAAAGGAAAGAGTTGGCCGAATTCCAGCTCTGAAAAGTGGGAATCGGGAACAGAAGTTGGAATGTCCGGAGAGGAATGGATGGGGAAGGAAAACTGGAAAGGCGGAGATGAGGGAGGAAGAGGGAGAGGGAAGAAGCAAAAGGGAGAAGAATGGAGAGAGAGAAGGGAGGGAGGGAGGGAGGAAGGGAGGGAGGGAGAGGGAGGGAGAAACAGGGAGGAGGAAGGGAGGAAAGGAAGAAGGGAGGAATTGGGGCAAGAGAGAGAGAGAGAGAGAGAGAGAGAGAGAGAGAGAGAGAGAGAGAGAGAGAGAGAGAGAGAGAGAGAGAGAGAGAGAGAGAGAGAGAGAGAGAGAGAGAGAGAAATACTCAGTCAGACACACACACACACACACACACACACACACACACACACACACACACACACACACACACACACACACACACACACACACACACACACACACAAACACACAGACGCACAAACAAACACATACACAAACAAACACAAACACACAAAGAAAGAGAGAGAGAGAGCAAACAAACAGACTAACGGAATATTGGATATATACACAGCTAAATCGGAAGCAAATGGGCAGGTATATTGAAGGATTTCACATCTCCCTTCGCGCCAAAATTCTATAGATCCGCGAGTTAGGTTCCTTGATGGCGAGGTCAGACCCGGCTGCCTCGGGAAACTCCATTTTCCCGTCCCTCCCCTTCGCTGTCGTTCGATTCCCCGTCTTTCTTTCGTAATCTCGTTTTCTTCTTTTGATCTTTCTTTCTCTTCTCTTCTCTTCTTCTTTCCTCTTTTATCTTTCTCTCTTCTCTTCTCTCTTATTCTCTCTCTCTTACTCTCTCTCTCTCTCTCTCTCTCTCTCTCTCTCTCTCTCTCTCTCTCTCTCTCTCTCTCTCTCTCTCTCTCTCTCTCTCTCCCTCCTTCCCTCCTTCCCTCCTTCCCTTCCTCCCTCCATCCATCCATCCCTAAATCACTCCTCCCTCTTTTTTCCTTCCTCCTTCTCTTCCGCTCCCTCCCTCCCTTCCCTCTCTCTCACCCTCTCTTTTACCCTCCCTCTCCCTATCTCCCTTTCTCTCCCTCTCTCCCTCTCCTTTTCTCCCTCTCTCTCCCCCCCAATCACCAGGATTTTCCTCCCTGCTGAGGTGTTTATTCAGAAGCATAATCCTCTTTTCTTTTCGATTTTGTGTCAACAGCATTTGCCGATTCCTTCCTCTGTGGTTTCATTAGACCACACACTCTTTCCTCTCATTTCTCTCTCTCTGATCATTTCTATTTTCCGTATGTAGCCTTACGTATCTGTTTTATGTCTGTTGTTGTATATGTCTGTCTCTGTCTCTGCTTCTCTTTCTTTCTCTTTCTCTCTCTTTCTCTCTCCCTTCCCTCTCACTCTCTCTCTCCCTCTCATCTCCCTCCCTCTCTTCTCAACCCCTCCCTCTCTCCTTCCCTCCCCTCCCTCCCTCCCTCCCATCCCTCTCCCCCTCCTTCTCTCCTTCCCCTCTCTCTCCCTTCCCTCCCTTCCTCCCTCTCTCCTCTCCCTCTCCCTCTCCCCTCCTTCCCTCCCTCCCTCCCTCTCCGTCTCCCTCTCCCTCCCTCCCTCTCTCTCTCCTCCTCCCTCTCTCTCTCCTCCCTCTCTCTCTCTCTCTCTCTCTCTCTCTCTCTCTCTCTCTCTCTCTCTCTCTCTCTCTCTCTCTCTCTCTCCTCTCTCTTCTCTTTTTCTCTCTTTTTCTTACTCTCTCTCTCTCTCTCTCTCTCTCTCTCTCTCTCTCTCTCTCTCTCTCTCTCTCTCTCTCTCTCTCTCTCTCCCTTCCCCTTTCCTCCCTCCCTCTCCGTCTTTCCCACACTTCCTTTCTATCTACATTTTCTACATTTTATCCACTCATACCTCTAAGTCTTCAGCAATTCCAACGTAACAATCAAATCACCTAACCTAACAGCTTGAATTCAAACAAGTCAATCGGTCAGTTCGATTCCCCAAATCTAGCTTTCTATAAGTATTGCTTTCCTGGGTGCCAACTATTTTTTTTTGTATACTTTCCTCTTTATTATTTATTTCTTTATGTATGTATGTATGTATCTATTTATTCCTTTATCTATCTTTTCATTTATTTTTACTAGGTAACCTTGCAAGACATTATATTTTCTTTGCAGATTCTATTAGCACACTGCTTGTTCGTCTGAAGAGGGAAGGAAGGAGGGAAGGAGGGAGGGAGGGAGGGAGAGAGGAAGGGAGGGAGGGAGGGAGGGAGAGTGGGAAGGAAGGAAGGAAGGAAGGAAGGAAGGAGGGAGTGAGGGAGTGAGGGAGTGAGGGAAGGAGGGAAGGAGAGAGGGAGGGAGGTAGAAAGGAAGGAAAGAAGGGGGATGGAGGGAAGAAGGAATGTTAAGAGAGAGAAAGAAGAAAATGAAAGAGAGACAAGGACGGAGACTGACAGACTGACAGCTAAAAGCTAGAGAAAGAGCCAGAGAAATGGCATAGTGCCAATCTTATAATCACATAATAGGAACGCCTACCCTCGTGTTGTCATCATAAACAAATCAAACACGAGCTAAATGCAGAACCATGTAGAAGAGTAAAATAGAGAAGAGAAAAGAAAAGAAGAGAAAAGAAAAAAAGGTGATGATGATGAAGTTGAAGACAACGATGATGATAACGATGAATAATAATAATAAAAAGAGGTTTCCTCCTCTCAATCCCTCTCCCTCTCCTTCTATTCCACCCTCTCACCCTCTCATTTTCCTTCCCCTTCTCTTCCCCATCTCACTCACCCTCTCCCTCTCCTCCACCCACCTTCTCCCTGCCTCCCTTCCCTCTCCCCCCCGCTATCTCCCTCTCTCCCTCTTCCCCTCCCTCTCTCCCTTTTCCTCTCCCTCTTCCTCTCCCCCGTCCTCTCCCTTTCTCCCCCTTCCTCTCCCCACCTCTCCCTCCCCCCCACCCCCACAACCGCATCAAGAAACAGCCGAGGACCAGAGGCTTTTCTCAAGGAGGCCGCTCCCTTGTCGCCGCGGCTGTCGATACACGATAATTACTCAGCTGGTTTCCGCTACTCGCTCCACACACACACACACATACACACACACACACACACACACACGCAAACACACACACACACACACACAAACACACACACACACACACACACACACACACACACACACACACACACACACACACACACACACACACACACACACACACACACACACACACACACACACACACACACACACACACACACACACACACACACACACACACACACACACACACATAATACACTCACACTTGAGTTCGATCGACGACTTTGTGAATTTTCACTTTTGATATAAGAAAATATCATTTTATATTATGTATTTACATTTTTTTTTTGTTGCAAACTTGCCAAATGCAGTCGGTAAGTTGGTAACTGACGTGATGAAGAGGATGTACCGATGGCGTGTAATAGGTAGTAGTTTGATATCTGTTTCGTGTAAATACGACCCTGGAATTGCAGTACAGACAGAGTGAGGGAGAGAGGGAGAAGGAGAGAGGGAGAAAGAGAGAGAGAGGAAGAGAGACAGAGGGGAGAGAGGAGAGAGACAGAGGGAGAGAGGGAGAGGGAGAGAGAGAGAGAGAGGAAGAGAGAGAGAGAGGAAGAGAGAGAGGGAGAGGGAGAGGGAGAGAGAGGGAGAGGGAGAGGAGAGGGAGAGAAGAGGGAGAGGGAGAGGGAAAGAGAGGTAGAAAGAGACATGTGATAGAGCTATAGGGCGAGAGGGGAAGAGGAGAGCTGAGGGAGACAGAGATGGAGAGGGCATAGAGTGAGAATAGGGAGAGGGAGAGAGGGAAGACGGAGAGAGAGGAGGATAAAGGCAGACAGAGATGTAATACGAGAGCACGGGTGAGGGAGTAGAGGGAGGAGCGTCATGGGGGATTAGCGAGAGATGGACGCACGTATGGAGAGGAATAGCGAGGAGATTACATCGAGAGAGGGCGAGGGAGAGGTAAGCGAGAAGGGAGAGGGAAAGGGACCGACGAGGTAGAAAGAGAGAAGTGAGAGAGAGAGAGAAGGGAGAGAGAAAACTGAGAACATGGGAGCGTAGATGAAGAGGGAGAGAGGTGGATCAAGCTAGAGAGGGAGATGAGAGAGGGAGAGGAAGGGAGAGAACGGAGATAGAGAGGGAAAGGGAGGTGAGAGAAAGCGAAACAGACATGCGAGAGAGAACAGAGAGAGAGAGAGCGAGAGAAGAGAGGGAAATCACTCTAGTGCATAGATGTACCACCATTTATTATCCATATATATATTATTAGATATATATATTATATATCTATATATCTAATATATTATATATATATATATATTAAATAATGACCCAACTCTCACATAACAAGGCCCCCCACCACACCCCATATACTCTCCATCCCAACGCCCCCGCCACACACATACCCCCCCCAGCCCCATTCCCCTCCACCCCTTCACTCCCCCCGCCACGCCAACACCGACCCAAACAAGTGACGCTCAACCCAAGGCAACATGCAGGGACGTGACAGCTATATATACACACCTGGGAGTTGTCGGTGGCCTGTGTGTGCGCGTGCGTGTGTGCGTGCGTGTGACCCCCGGCTCTGTGACGGTCTCCACGCCTCAGCAACGGGTCACAGGGCGGCCGGGAGTCATGCCTCTGGTTCCTGAAGAGAGAGAGAGAGAGAGAGAGAGTTATAACTGGGTGAAGGCATGGAAGAATGAGCAATGCAGTGCACACACACAAGAATATATCTGTCTATCTATGTGTATATCGATCGATCGATCTGTTTGTTTATTTGCTTGTTTGTTTGTCTGTCTGTCTGTCTATCTATCTCTCAAAACCTTAGCCTAAATCATTTTCATTATCTGTCTGTCATTCTATGTTTTCTCTTTATCGATCTCCCTATCTGTCTATTTGTTTACCCATATATTATCATCGTTATTGCCATTATTATTATCATCAATAACAATTACAATATCATTATTATTATCATAATCATCGTCATCATCCTCATTATTACTTTAATTATTATTATCATTGTCATTATTATCATTATTATTATTATCATCATCATCATCATTAAATGATTATATTACTATCATCCTCATCATCATCATTATCATCATTATTATTACTACCATCATTATTATCGTTATCATTATTTGCACACTATCACACTATTATTATCATTATTATTACTATTATTATTATCATTATTATCATTATCAATATTATTATTATTTCTATCAGTTTCATTATCATTATCATTGTTATTATTATTATTATTATTATTATGATCACGTGATACTGGAGTTGGTAAAGACTTCATTTGTTAATTGTTTCTTTTCTCCTGTAACTTATCTTAAATTGTGTGAACTTCCAGTGTTGTGAATGAAATCATGTTACAACATATCAATAAATAAGCAGACTACGAACTGGAAAATCCAAGATGGCGGGCCGATTACTCGATTCTCATTTCACAATTCTATTATATCAAACATTATATTAAACGATTATATTAGAGAGTATTTATATTAAGATTAGTATATTAAAAAATATTTCCTCGTTTATCTAATACCATCGCCATGGTCACAATAGCTCAGCGGCAACTCATAAAACCCGGCCAGAAGCAGAGGACGAACCAGAAAATTCAAGATGACGGACCGACCTGCTCGATTCCTCGTTCGAACGTGAATTTTCGAAATGAAGTAAAGGCTTCCGAGTGCTATTCTTATAAACGCCTATATCAAACTATTACATTAAACTATCATTTCATATTCAATATAAAATATTGAACATCATATTAGATTATGCTTTTATATTACATATATTAAACTATATTATCAAGTAATTATTACATTCCCCACTTATCCTAAAGTACCATCAGTTTGATCACAGCGATTCATAAAACCCGACTAAAAGCAGGCTACCAAGTGGAAAATCCAAGATGGCGGATCGACCCTCTCGATTCTTAGTTTATAAAGGAATTTCAGAAACGAAGTAAAGGCTTTCCAGTGCTTGAACCCAGCTCTACTTAACTCTCTCTCTCTCTCTCTCTCTAACTCTCTCTCTCTCTCTCTCTCTCTCTCTCTCTCTCTCTCTAACTCTCTCTCTCTCTCTCTCCCTCTCTCTTTCTCTCTCTGTCCTAGCGAATAACGTTATAAAAAAGTGTCCAACTTTTCTTGCCTACGTACGTGATTTCGGAATGGTGTTTGCAAACTTTAAAATATTTTCCTACTCACCTTTTTTCAATTTCGTTTTCTTTCATGTCTGTCCGTCTGTCTATCAAACTCTCCGTAAGAAACCTCACTTATTTTTACATTTCGTTTTTATTTTATTTTCCTTTTCACTTTGGCGTACCCAAGCACAGTCAACCTTAAATATCCAGTCATTTCGAAAATGGGTTCTTATTAGCATTTCCCTAATGTCTGTAATCCCAACCTACACTTAGGTGAGTTTGTACGTGTGTGTTTTGCGATTATCATATAACTAAGATTTAAGGATAATGGGCGTGGGATATTTTCTTAAAGTGTTTTGTCTCTCTTGGGCTTAACTCGGCGTCTGTGCTTCTTGAAGGCTAAGGCCAGGCTGCTTGCAAAGGGTGACGGCTTTTATTTGTTTATTTTTCTCTCTCTCCTCTCTCTCTCTCTCTCTCTCTCTCTCTCGTCTCATCTCTCTTCTCTCTCTCTCTCTCTCTCTCTCTCTCTCTCTCTCTCTCCCTCCTCCCCCCCCCTCTCTCTCTCTCTCCATCTCTCTCTCTCTCATCCTCTCTCTCTCTCTCTCTCTCTCCCTCTCTCTCTCTCTCCTCCTCTCATCTCTCTCTCTCGCTCTCTCTCTCTCTCTTACTATATCATATATATAATATATAATAATATATATATATAATATGATATATGTATATATATAGATTATATTTATATATATATATTTTAGAGAGAGAGAAGATATAGATATATATATATAGTATATATATATTTACATATATGTATATATATGTATATATATGGTATATGTATATATATATATATATATATATATATATATATATATATATATAATATTTATATATATATATAGTATATATATATATATATATATATAGATTGTAATATATCATATAATATATATACAGAGAGAGAGAAATGTAATATCTATAATATATATATATATATATTATATATATATAGATTAATAATGTATGTATGTAGGATAGTATTCTCTTTTCTCTCCTCTCTCTCTCTCTCTCTCTCTCTCTCTCCTCTCGCTCTCCTTCTCTCTTCACCTCCTCTTCCACATCTCCTCACTAGTTCTCACTCTCCGCTCCTCCACCTCTCCTCTCTATCTCTCCCTCTCTCTCTCTCTCCTCTCGCTCGCTCTCCCTCTCCTCTCTCTCCTCTCTCTCCTCTCTCCTCTCTCTCTCCTCTGTCTTTATATATATATATATTAATATATATGTATATAATATATATATATATATATTATTACCTAGTATATGTATTATGTATATATACATATATATATCTATCTTATATAGTATATATATATTTATATATATCCTATATAGATATATATATATATAAATATATAATATGATACTCCACAACATATTATATACATACCTATATATATCTATATATATATATATATATATATTATATATATTACTAATATATATATATACATATATCTATACATACATAAATCAATATATATATATATACAATTAGGATGAGTAATATCTTTATATATATATTATATATATATATAATATAGTTATATATATATCTATAATCTATATAATATGTATATATATATATATATATATCTATACGATATATATATATATATATAGACTCTCATATTATATATCTCATATATATATAGATATTTAATATATCTATGTATATATATATATCTCCATACATCTAAATAACTAACCACATTATATCTATAAATAGATATTCATTTCTTTGTATAAGGATATATCTTATAATATCTATATAATATCCTATAATATATATATAATATATATATATCTATATATTCTATATAGATATCTATTATATATATAAAGTTATTTATAATCTTTATTTTTATATTTATTTTCTAATTTAGAGAGAGAGAGAAATGTGTGTTGTGCCGCATTATATACATTATACATACATACAGCAGATATAATATATCTATATACACAACGCATATGTGTATATATTATTATTATATATTATGCTCTATATATCTATCTATATCATACACCTTTGCATCTCTCTAATATATATAATAATCTATATATATATATCTAGTATATAATATATATATATGATATATATATACTATATATATAATATATATATAAGAGAGAGAGAGAGAGAGAAGAGAGAGAGAGAGAGAGAGAGAGAGAGAAGAGAGAAGAGAGAGAGGATTTAGAGAGAGGCAGAGAAATATATATATATTATATATTATATATATATATAGATATATATAATATACAGATATATTTATTTATACCTGTATCTATATATATATATATAGATATATATATATATATAGATATATATATAATAGATATATATATAAATATTATACATATAATATATATAATATATATATATATATATATATATAGATATATATATTTTATATAATATATCTATATATTCTTCTGTGATAATATCTATTCTATATCTATATATATATCAGTAAATAGATATATATCTATATATATATATATTATATATATATCTATATATATATATATATACTATATATCTACTTTATTATGTGTAATATATATTATAAATATATCTCCCTTATATATTATCTATATATATATATAATATATATATATTATAATCTATATATCTATAGATCTCTAATATAGATGATATATAATGCTCTATCTATCTATTATATATATCTATATATCTGCCTATCTAATCTATATCATCTATCTCTGGCTATCTCTAGTCGGTATATATACTATCTTATATCTCTATCTTATTTTATCTCTATATCTATCATATCTATATACTCTCAGTTTAGCACGAGGAGATAGACGACGAATAAACTACATTACATCTGCTTCTATTATATATATCTATATCTCTCTATATATCCTATATATCTATATATATATCTATACGCATACATATATATAATATGTCTCTAGCTCGTATATATACTTATATCTATATATCTCTCTATATATATGATATATTATACATATATATAATGTATATATATCTACCTATTGTATACTATCTATACATATTCTCTATCTCATATACTCCCGTCTCTACTATCTCTACTCTTATATCTATATCTATCATATATCTATATATCTATCTGACTAAATCTCTACTAGTATTCTCTATATCTATATACTTATCTATTCTCATCTCTACATATATCTATCTCATACCCTCTTATTCTATCTCTTACTAATATCTCTTATCTCATCTATCTCTCTAGCTCTGCTCTTCCCCTATATATCTCTCATCTATATATATCATATCTCTCTATCTATATACTCTATCTATCTCTCTCTCTCTCCTATATCTAAATTCTCTACTTGGTTCTCTCTCTTTCCCCTTCCCTCACTTTGCTCGTGCTCGGCCCCGAGTCAGCCACAAAAGGGAGAGTAGAAAAGAAGGCCCCCCCCCT